CCCTCCCTCCCTGCTTCCCTGGCCTGGCTGCCCTCTGCACGTGTGTCTGCCCTGCGATATGCAGCGAGCCGAGGGGCAGAGGGCAGCCCAGGAGGGGCGACACGGAGAGAGGTTCATGGGGAGCCCTTTAGGACAGGAGGATGCATGTGCTGCTGTGGAGGATGAGCCGAGGCTGCCGAGCAGAGGGTTTACCCCAGGAGTAGTAATGATAAGGGACCAAATGCTGTCACCTCTCCCAGGGCATGGTGGCCCTGTGCTTAGAAGGAACAGCAGCTGTTGGAAAGTTCTTGAAGGCCTGGTGTGCTGTCAGTAAATTCCTCCCTCAGAAAGGCTTCTTTCCCTACTCTTCATATCTCCAAACCCCTCACTAGTGTGAATTTCATGTAATTTTTGGTGCTGGTGGGAGTCTGACACAAGCCTGAGAGAATTTCCAATCTTCCCTATCTCCTTCCCAGCAGCCAAGGTCATGAAGTGTTTGGGACACACCAGGACCGAGGACAGGACTGATGCCCAGAGCCATGCCGTGCTCCTGTCCCAGGGCTGTTGGACACCTAGAGGAGGAACTAACAGAGCCCTTCCTGAATCTCTCTCTGCTGTCTGGCCTGGAGGGTCTGCAATGGCATGGCCAGGGGAGAGGCAGTGCACCACGAAGGGCTGGGTTCGTCGCTCAGCTTGGTGACATCCCACTTTTGTCTCCTCACAGGCCAACCCCGCTCCCATTATCGTGAATACAGACTCGCTGGAACAAGGGCTCTCTGTAAGTCTCCCGGTTTCGTTTTGCTTCCTTTGATCAAGTGCTGCATTTTCCCTGCTCAGCAATGCAGGAAAGACTTTTCCAGCTCAAGGAGGCCCTGGTAAGGCAGCAGAAGATCCTGATACTCACGCAATGTCCCCACAGCTCATCCCACCCCTAAACCTTTCTAGGGCTGGGTGACACTGCGCAGAACCAAGGCCAGCAGCAGGCGATGCTGGGAACTCTAGCAAAGGGAGGTACAAGGCAAAAGGCCTCAGCAGAGGGGCTGGGGATCCAGGCTGGTTGTGTTCAGTGTTAATCACATAGCCATTTCCTCTGCTTCCCATGCAGGGGGCTTGAGAGGCTCTGCTGGGGCATCCTTTACCTTCCTGCACTGCCTCAATCACCTTAGGCAGCCCTGGCCCCTCAGGAAGGGGGCAGGGCTCTCTGGGTGCTTGCTGGCATCTTACTCACCAGTCCTCAGGGCAGCAAGGCCTGTCAGATGCTGCTCCTCTCCCACTGGAGGCTTCCAGCAGCTGAGCAGTACTTGGTGAGTGTGTTTGCAGCCACAGTGCATTTGGCACTCCTGGCATAGTGTAAGATAATCCTCTTCAGTTTGCTGCAGACAGGGTTTGCATCCTGCTGCATCTGTCCCCAGAACATTTGTAACTCATTCTTGCTGGGGGGATGAAGGGATGAGAGTGGCCAGTGTGGGTTTCTGGCCAGCAGCACTGGCTCTATGCTTGTGGGATGCTTCCCTTTTTTGCCCAAAGGAGCCCAGTTAACAGCTTGCCGAGGCTGGGTGCTTTGTGTCGGGTTTACTTCTGGTGCATCAAACTCCAGCTGCCTTCCACAGCAGTGAAGCAGCACCAGGACTCAGAGCTGGGGTGGGTTCATCTTTGGAGCCAGGGGCCACAGGTGACTTCTGGGGGTTGAATTTCCCCTGTAGAAAACTGCAGGTCTCAGCCCACAGCCTGTGGTGGGGTCAGTGCACATCAGAGTTGTAACTGGGCTGGTTTAGAAGAGCTACAGAATGGAAGAAAAGCCTGGCTGAGACCTTTCCAACCCTGGCTGTATGGTTTAATTATGCCTGAATTAAAGCCACCTGACACTGGGGAGGAAGGCAGTGATGCATCTCAGCGTGGTGGTCCTGGGTCCAGCAGCCCTGTACGAATTTGGCAGAGGAGAGCTGCTGTCCCCAAAGGTTACCTTCCCCAAACACATGGAATGGCAGGAGGGCTCTGGGTTGGAGGTTCTCTCACTGTTCTGGGCACCCTGGCTGCAGGGCAGTGCCATGTTGCAGCTTCCTGTCTGCACTCTCCTGGCTGTTCTACAGGGAAATGGGAAAAGGGCAATGTCTCCTGCAGGGAAGGGACCACCATCATGCTGGAGTGGAGCAAGAGAGAAGTTTGCCATGAGCAGGGCAGGGCAAGGAGGTACTCCTGGATGGAAAGTCTGCTTTCACATCTGTTTTGTACCCTCCCTCAGTACAAAATGTCACACCTTTGGAGGGACATTGCCCACTCATCATCGCAGGCAGCAGCATTGCATCCTTTGCCACACACTATCCATGCCCGTCCCTCCTCCCTGCCTGTGTGCCCAAGGGCAATGAGAGATGAGCCCAGGGGTCAAGGACAGGCTCTGTCACCCCAGACAGACTCCCGAGCCCTGCAGAGGTCAGGAACCGCTGGGAGCCCTCATGCAGGGCAGCAACCACTACTTCCACTGCAGTGCACTCCATTTTCCTGCTCTCCCAGCTGCCTCCTTCTACTCCAGCTCATTAACTTTGCATCCCTCCCTCCACCTCCACCCCTTCTCCCTGCACTTTGGCTGGGTTTCAGGGGGTGCTCTGCACCCCAGACAGATGCCAGCATCATTCTGGGGGTGACAGTCACTGATCCCATCCATCCAAACTCAGCAGACCATGCTGGGAGCAACTGTCCTGCAGGGGTCAAAAAAGCCACCAGCTTGTAGCTGTGATCTGCTGGCTGTGCTCTGGTGAGTGTCACCACCTGGGTGCCTGGAGCAGCCCATGCCCAGAGCAGAAGACACCTTAGTTTGATTCCTCTCAGCATCCAGCTGGAAACTCTCTTGCCTTCTACTTCATGTTATACCAAGAAACAGGCCTTGCTCCATCTTTTCCTTCTCTGGGGTGATGGAGTCCCCAGGCTTCAGAGAAAACAACTCCCCAAAACTTCAGCAGTTTCCTAGGTCAGCAAAGGAGCCACACCAGGAGCTTATTGCAAACACCAAAATACCAAATCTAGAAGCATGGGATTTTTTTTACAAACCCAGAATCTGAAGTCTGTTGGTACAGCATGTATTTGGAAGGGTTAAAGTCACATCTTCCAGTCTTTAATTACTTAACTATTCAGTGCTTTCCTTAATGATAAACAGATGGATGTATTCTAGTTTCTTCCTGTTCTAGCTCCATTGATTGCATTGCACTGGCTGCTGGGCTGGATTTGGCCCTGACTGTTTATCAAGAAGTCTGTTCTGCATTTCAATGTCCCCATCCACCCACTTCCATCCCCAGGAGCATGTAGCACCAGCGGCACTGTAAGATGGGGGCTGCAGCACTGGGATGGCTGGGGCTCAGTGTGTGGCTTGAGCAGAGCCCAGCACCCTCAGGTGTGATAAATATACTATAAAATGCCTGCAGTATTAAAATAATCCCTTGAAGTTTAAGGAGAGTGCTGGAGGGCACCAGCCATGCCAGCTCCAGGTCATTGCTCACAGTTTCACATCTTGGTGTATTTTGCCCAGCATGTCCATAATGGGGAGTAGAGAACTGGAAACAGAGTTTCCATGGCAGATGGAGTCTCTGCATTTCAGAGCTGCCTCTCTGAAGCTAAAACAACTTCTTGCTGCCAGGTAGTCCCAAAAATGAGCAGGGAAAGTCACTCCAAAGCCCTTGAGGAGTTGAAGGTTTCATAGTCTGGATCCTTGGAGCCTCATTGCCCAGCAGTGAGGTGCAATCACCTCTTCAGTCGCTCAAAATTCAGGTGTGAGGAAGATAAGTGCTTTCCAGGCCTGATCTCAGCCAGTGAGTCCCTCACACTTTGGTACCAAGTGCTGGCTAGGGCACATCCCTGTGCCAGTTCCTGCAGGCAGCATGGTTGTGGTGTCCCCCCAGCTGTTGCTACAGTTGTCAGGCTGCAAACCCCTTCACTCTGCCCAAGCTCAGCAGGTTGGTGGCCATGACCCTCTGGCAAAAGGCTGACCAGAAATAGGGCATTTATTCATTCAGTGTACAATGCCAGCACCATGGGCACTGCACACAGGGGGATTGAGGCCAGGGGATAGCTGGAAGCGAGTCAGTAGGTCTCAGTGCTGTGGCAGGACACGTGGAGGTGGAGGGAGGGAGCTCTTGACCTATTTTCCCTGGGCCCCCTGCCATGTGCAGGCAGGAAGAGCTCTCCTGTGCCAGCACTGGCAGTGCCTGTGCCAGCGGGGAGGTGCCCACTGCATGCACTGCCCTGGCACAAGGCTGCTCCCCTTTCCCTATGCTGAGGCAGGTGTGGGGCATCACCAGGTGCCCTCCACACTTGGGGCTGGCTGGGACAACCAAGGGCTGGCTGCCCAATCTTCAGACCCTCTCCATTATCTCAATAAATGGGTGCTCCACCAGCAGGTCCCAGTGCTCATCCTCATCCCATCCTAAGCACAGGATATGCTCCAAAAGGGCCAGTGAGTAGTGTTATCCGTCCTGCAGGTTATTTCCTCTTGCAGCCTGGTTGGGTATCTGGGTTGTATTTGAGGAACCTGATCTTTGTCTCATAAATTTGGCCTTCCTTTTTATTTAAAAAACAAGCAAACAAGCAAAACCACAAAAAACAGTCAACCACCCTCCCCAGCCCAAAAAACCCACCTCAAATCCTTACTCTCCAGCAAATTGCAAGGGGTGTTCCGTGTGCACTGTTGCATTGTTGGCCGGCAGAGCCTGCAGACAGCTTGCAGTAGCTCTGGAAGGTGTGTGCTCTTCTGTTTATCAAAGGAGTGTTAACTCTGCAGCCTTCTGTTGATGAGCTGAATGCCGTCACCGGTAACTATTTCCCTCCTGCTCAAAAGAGGAGAGGGCCAGTAAAGGCGCCTCTTCCTGAGCCCTCAGGTGGGCTTTTTGCATGAGATGGGCCTGGAAAAATACACACATACTCTTTTCCATGAGAAACCAGGTGATGCTAGGATCAGGATATGCTGGGAACAGCTAATTAGCCCCTGACACTCCTGTCAGCTCTGCAGGTGTTACACGAGGAGAGGAGAGCAGGGTGTGGTGTGCTCTCACACCCTGGAGGTGATGGAGCCAGGCATCTTCCCACTGGAGTTGGCCCCAAACAGGATCTGGGAAGGAGCACAGGGCACTGGCAAAGGACAGGGGGAACAGCCTGTGGCAGAGGCAGGTTCTGGCATCTCTGGTGGGTATCATGGGGAGGTTTTTGCCATCAGTGAGTGACTGGTATTTGATTTTCTGATGCTGGAATGTTCGCTTTGTTGGCTTGTTCCCTTGGTTACGTGGTATATATTAAGTTCTTCATTTGACTTCCTTATACAATTAGCTGGTATTCCATTGCGTGAATTTTGATAACATAATCTGAGCTAAAACTTCATGGTCAGGCCTGGCTGACCACAGCATGTCTGGACAGTGCAGGCTGCTCCCAGCAGGCACCACATCAAGCAAGCACCTACACCGCCAGCTTTCCGGGAGCAGTGCAAAACTGCTCAGCATTGGCAGCCCAGGGACTTGGGGAGAAGGGCTATTCCAGCTCACCTGCCTGGCAGCACCAGGGCTCTGATGGAGTCTGTGTGCCGGGGTGTCTGATGGGGTCTGTGTGTCAGGGTGTCTGACGGGGTCTGTATGTCAGGGTGTCTGATGGGGTCTGTGTGCCGGGGTGTCTGATGGGGTCTGTGTGTCAGGGTGTCTGATGGGGTCTGTGTGCTGGGGTGTCTGATGAGGTCTGTGTGTTGGGGTGTCTGATGGGGTCATGTGCCGGGATGTCTGATGGGGTCTGTGTGTCAGGGTGTCTGATGGGGTCTGTGTGTCAGGGTGCCTGATGGGGTCTGTGTGTCAGGGTGTCTGATGGGGTCTGTGTGTCAGGTGTCAGAGTACCCTGGGTGCTGCCAGCAGCAGCCGCTCCTCAGCGGGGCCTGTGTGCGCTGGCTCTCACCATGGCTCACAGATTGTCACAGTTTTCTGCAGATCCCCATCCTGGAGGGATGTGTACGCTGTTCCTCTGCGGCCGTGGGTGTGCATATGGCTGGCTGTGTGGCAACTGTGTTGAATGCCAAAGCACAGAGGACAATGTGTGTAGTAGCAAAGGGTGCCAGGAATCTGAGTTGCTGGAAAGCCGGGGAGAGGCGACGCTGCGCCCCACGCACCGGGATACCAACTGCAGAGAGGGGATGGGCTGGAGGCCGTGCTGATGGAGGCCGTGCTGAGGATGGCTGTGCTGAGGATGGCTGTGCTGAGGATGGCTGTGCTGAGGATGGCCATGCCGAGGATGGCTGTGCTGAGGATGGCTGTGCTGAGGGATGGCTGTGCTGAGGATGGCCGTGCTGAGGGAGGCTGTGTGAGGGAGGCTGTGCTGAGGATGGCCGTGCTAAGGATAGCCGTGCCGAGGATGGCCGTGCTGAGGATGGCTGTGCTGAGGGAAGCCATGCTGAGGGAGGCTGTGTGAGGGAGGCTGTGTGAGGGAGGCTGTGTGAGGGAAGCCGTGCTGAGGGAGGCTGTGTGAGGGAAGCCGTGCTGAGGGAAGCCGTGCTGAGGGAGGCCATGCTGAGGGAGGCTGTGCTGAGGGAGGCTGTGTGAGGGAGGCCGTGCTGAGGGAGGCTGTGCTGAGGATGGCTGTACTGAGGGAGGCCATGCTGAGGGAGGCCGTGCTGCTCTGAGGGTTGCATTGGCCAGCAAGCCAACTGCACTTAGCATTAGTCAGTATGGGAAGATGAGAAGAGCAAAAGGTGGCCCATGCCGGAGGGGGAAGTTTTGGCAAGGGAAGCAGTGCCCCTCTGCCCACAGGAGCACAGCACAGGGCGGCACTGTGGCCAAAGGTGGCACTGACCATGTGTCCCGGACCCTCTGAGGCTGTCAGGGATCCTGCTGTGGGTTAATCCCACAAGTTGTGGTACTTTCCTGCTGCAAGATCCTCCTGTAAGAGCTGGTCAAAGCCCTCCCCAATGTGCTGGGAGGATCTGAGCATCCTACTATTGGAGTATCTGGATGTCCAACCTTGAACTGTCCCCTGAAATCTTCCTGTGGCTGAGAGGCACCAGGCACAAGGGTGCATCTAAGGAGGGACAACACACTCAGCCTGCGTTCCCTGGAGCCTCCCTTTCCTCTTTGCCCAACCTCATCCTTGAAGCACAGTACAGGGTGTGGGATTGCTTTGGCCTCCCAGGGCAGGGGATGACGGTGTGTGTGTCACAGGTGCCACAGCCCTATCCCAAATCCTGTCCTGCAGAACTGCTTCTCTGCCTGGGCCCCTGATTGTTGCTGCTTAGAAAAACTCCTGTTTCTTCTTTCTACCTATCAATAGAGCCTCGCGTTGCCTCACCGGGTTTTCTTCTGTGGTGATGATGGCTTTAGTATAAAGAATGGTTGCTGTTCCCTCCAGGGAATGACCCAGCTCTCTGGGAGTGTGGAGGATGGCAGGGCTGTGCCTCTGCAGGGGCAGATAGCAAGGAGCTAGGAAAGCAGGACACAGCCACTTGTTGGTGCTTCATGAGAACTGTGTCCAAACAAAGGCATGCCAGCTCCAGTTTGGGATACAGAGCATATACAGGAAGTGGCTCCATATGATCTATGACCCATCACTTAATGGTGGATGTAAAATCCAGATGAGGAACCCTGAACATTGTCCATAGGCCACAGGCAGAGGCAGGACTTCAAAGTGAGAGAGGTGTTCATGGCAGGGTTCCAATGTCTCTGCCTTGTCATTCAGAACTACCCATGTCCCATCCCTTGTTTCTGAGAATGACTCAAATTACAAGATTGAGTTCAGTCCCCTCCAAAATAAATGTGAGTCAACAGTGTGCCCTAGTAGCCAAAAAGGCTACTTTGGCTACTACCCCAACCTTGGCCTGGGGTGCAGCAGGGACAACATCACCTGACAGAAAAGGGAGGGATTGTCCGGCTCTGCTCCCGGTGGGGCAGCCTCACCTCAAGTCCTAGGGCCACAATAAAAGGATATAAAGCTATTACAGAGCATCCAAAGGAGGCTACAAAGGTAGTGAAGGATCTAGAGGAGACCATATGAGAAAGGGTGAGGTGACTTGGCTTATTAAGTCTGGAGAGGAGGAGATTGAAGACAGACCTCACCACAGTCTGCAGCTTCCTCGTGAGGGGAATCAGAGGAGCGGTCACTGATCTCTCAGGTGCTCAGTGACAGGATCTGAGGGAAGGGCATAAAGCTGTGCCAGGGGAGGTTTAGGTTGGACATTAGGACAAGGATTTTCACGCAGAGGGTGGTGGGGCATTGAACAGGCTCCCCAGGGATTGGTCATGGCCCCAAGGCTGCCAGAGCTCAAGGGGCATTTGGACAACACCCTGAGGCACATGATGGGATTGTTGGGGGGTCTGTGCAGGGCCAGGAGTTGGATTCCATGACCCTTTGGGTTCCCGTCCAACTCAGTTTTCTTTGTAACTGTTGCTGTTAAGTGTTGGATGTTTCAGTAGCCAATTGCATTGCAAATCTTGCGAAATTTTAGACCTTGGCAGCTGTTCCTGGCCTGATCCTGATGATCTGGAGTGAAACTGCTGCATTTTCCCTGTGCATTGTTGATTATGAGGAAAATTGATTTTTTTTTTTTTTTGAGTCTACATTTACCATTTTGCAGCCTACAATTGCATCCCTTTTTGTTTCTATTCATTATGTTTCCAAGAACTCTACTTTGATACATTGCGTATGAGAGACTTTTAGCGTGGGGATCAGTGTGGTGTACAGCACTGAGACAAGCTACACCATTTTTGTACATAAGAGCACCACAATGTTTTCACCTCTTACTGTGCCCCACTCTCTCACACCTTGTTTCCTTTGCACCCAACTAACTTCATATAATAAATTATTCTGAATTTCCTGTTAATACAGTCATGCTATGAAAAGATTTAAAAAATATAAGCTGCTAAAGGTGTTTATTATGTTATTATGTACAGACATTTTTTTCCCTTTAAATGGACCGACCCCCTCTCTTCCCTTCCTCAAGCAGTGAATTCCTGAGGTTAATTATATGCTGTGTAACAAAGGTGTTATTTCTTTTTGTGCCTTCGGCTGTGTTCCTTTTCATGGCTGGAGAAATGAGCTGGGAGAATAAAGGCTTTGCACAGAAGTGCATTAAAGTCAGTGGGCTTTGGCTCATGCCCAGGGAGAAAAGCAGCACATGGTTTAATTCCCGGGCAAGGCCAAGCAGTTGCATTTAAGGTTTTTTTCAGCCGTGATGGTGCAGCTTTTAGGTTGGATTCTTCATGTTCAGCTATCAGAGAGGAAAAACAAATTCCCCCAGGACCAGCAGAGAGTCGTAACATGCTGTCTCCCTCTCTCCAGATGAATGGCAGTGATGGGATGTTCAAATATGAAGAGATCGTCTTGGAAAGGGTAAGTACTCCTTACTCACCCACCAGCAGCCTCCTCCCACTCTCCCACCCCCCGGCACTGCTGGCCCCCCACGCATCCCTGCACAGCTGATGGGGGGAGGTTGGTCTCTGCTCCTCGCTCTCTCTGGAGGCTTTCACAGGTGTTGCACCTGCTTTGCCAGCCTGGCTCCCACCAGGGTGGGCTTGCTGGTCTCCTCTCCCCCTGCACACCGCTCCAGAAGGGAGGGAGGAGGGCTTCTCCCTTGCCTCCCTCATTCACACCCTCACCCCCACAAAACCATCAGTGCAGAGCATGGGGGCAGGCTCTTTGTCATTGCCTTTGTCAGAAAACAGAGGTGTGGGGGGCTCAGCTTGTGCAGACACAGGTGGGTGCACCCACAACTGGGCACAGGGACCAAAGCCACCCTGCCACCAGGCTCCCTGTCACTCTAGGGCACAAAGCCTTGGGATGCTAGGCTGCAAGAGCAGGCTATTTAGTAAAACAAACCACAATGGAGGAAGTTCCTGCTCAAGCCTTTTCTTTGTTGGCAACACAGAGGTGATGGCGTGCACCACACCAGCCATGGCTAGAATTAGCTCCCCCATCTATAGGGTTTATCCTGGGGCAAGCCAGCACCACAGAGGGCACAAAGGGCTTTCTTGTTGCCCAGGAAGCAGCAGTGGAGGAGGGATGGAGAGGGAGCAGGAAAAGCTGGCCCAGGGTTTACTCCGTGAGACAGGCACAGCCCTGCTGGCTGGGAATGGCTGTGGTGGGAGGCTGCCCGCGGCTCTCCACAGCACACCTTGCCTCCCCCTCACTGCCGTGCCAGGCGGCTCAGCCTCGCCGCGTGGCCGGCATTGCAGGGGAAGACGCATCGCTCATTATTCTGTTCCTCTCTGCCTTTAGTCATCTCCCTCCTTTCCTTGGCTCTGCATCACAGAGGTGGGTGGACGGAAGGTTATCTGGGGCTGTCGCCTCACCCACCGCTTCCCCAGCGTGCCTGACAAAACCAGCCCAGGGGTTCCTTCCTTTCTGGGCTAAGTGCTTCTTGCTCCAGGCCCAAGTCACAGGAAAAGCCTTGTTTCAGGGATTCAGGGCGTCCCTTGTCCTCAGCCCATAGTGGGAACAGGGAAAGAGCTGGCAGGACCACACAGAGAGGCAACTCATTGATGCCTCAATTTCAAAGCCCCAAGCAGCAATTCATTCTCTGACAGCAAAAAACCATGAGGGAATCTCAGGGCTTAGCAACCTGGGCTAGCATGGACCATACCCAGATCCTTCCCCTTCACCTGGTCCCTGGTGGGATCCAGCAATCCTGTCTTAATGCAGGAGAAGAACCCTGGTTCCTGCAGGTGAGGCTGTCCCCTTGCTCAGGTGTTTGGCTTCCAGAACTTACCTCAGTGTATCTCAAAATCGCTGCTCAGTCACTGTTATTAATCTTTGTCTTTGTTGTAAAGACAAGCGTAAATGCAGCAGCATTTTGGGGGCAATAATAGCAGAAACACAGTCTGGAGAGGGTCATGGCTTTGTGTTTATCCACCATATACGTGTCCACAGCAGGAACTGCCCTGGCATCAACCCTGATGTCTAAAAAAAAAAGCATAAGAAATCCCTTGAGGTTTATCAAAATAAAAATTAACACCTCCCAGATAATTTCCAGATTTTGTAGCTAACCAAGGACCTCCCACAGACAGGCACAACAAATGCCCGGAGATCATCTTACAATCTCACCTGCCTTGCTGAAGCCAGGCTTGGTCTCTGTGACAGTAAGGAGCTTTTTTGAGCTAGGCACAGGGTAATCAGAGCTCAGCACAGAGGAAAGAAAGCAGCCTCAGACCCTTTACCATTGAATGCCTCCATGTCACATGCCAGCCAAATCCCAGCTGGACAGGGAACATCCGAGAGCGCTGCACAGTGGCAGGCATTGGTGGCTTCTGCTGCTATGTCAGCAGCATCATGAAGCCAGCTCTGCATCGCTGCAGGAGCTGATACTGGGGCAAAATTGCTGGTGAAAAGTGCAAGCCCCAGCTGTTGGTGCTAAATTATCGTGGGAAGATGGAGTTCCAGTGTGGCCCTCTCAGCCACAGGTCCCCTGGGAGAGCAGAGAACCCCCTCATCTCCCACTGGGGAGGCACTGGGCACTGGGGCCAAGGGCAGCCAGGAGAGCTTGGCCTGAGCCCACTCATGTGCAAGAGAGGCAGGCACAATAGTATGTGACTAAGTGTCAGCTCTTCCACATGAGGAAACAAGGCAAGAAGCCATCTGATTTTCAAGGCAGAGCAAAAAAGGCAGGAATTGTCCACTTGCATCAAGCATGGATCTGGAAGCAGTGCCTGTGAGTGTGTCACTAATGAGGATCCTGCAAGTGGGAGACGCAGCACAGGGCCACAGCCACTCAATCCTGAGATGCTGGGGGAATGGCCTGGAGATGAGCTGTGGTTCCTGCACTCCTTCCAGGCATAACTCAGCAGGAGAAGCTCAAGTGATGCTCCAAGCATGTCTGTGAGGAAAACGTGACAGAACTGGAAAGCCCACTCCATCCTGATAGCCACCTCCACCCAAACCTGTAAATTTTGGCATCAGCATTGCTGGTTCCCAGCTTGGCTCTGTGCCAGGGCTACATCTCAGAGTGCAGAGGGGCAGGAGTGGGATGCTGGTGACTGGCACAATCCCCGCTGGTCTGTGCAGGCTGCGGCATTGGTGTCTCCTCCTGGGGAGCAACCAGCAAGGGGAGGTTTTCTCCGCCAAGGACCACCTCCTCTTCCCCCAGCTCCCCGCCTGCCTTAGTCTCTCCGTGGAGACGCGGTGGTGAGGGAGGTCCTCGGCGGCTCCCACTCTCCCACTCCATCTGTTCAGTGCTCCACGCTGCTGCACCGAGCGCTCAGCTGAGGAACGCCAGCCTCTCCTCTGGCCAGCATCCCTCTGCCCCCTGAGCCGGGCACCCCGGGGTGTGATAGATGCTGTAAGGGCTCCTGCGCCCCAGGCAGTCCCACGGCTGGGGGTAACCATTTAAGGAGGGCTGGCAGCAAGCAGCTGCCTATGGGGGAAAGATGCAGCATTTGATTTCCCACAGGGTAACTCCGGCCTCGGCTTCAGCATAGCGGGCGGCATCGACAACCCCCATGTTCCAGATGACCCAGGTATCTTCATCACCAAGATCATCCCCGGGGGAGCAGCAGCCATGGATGGCCGTTTAGGGTGAGTACAGGGCTGGGGGAGCAGCCAGGCTGTCACCCAGGATCTCTGCATGGACCCTCTAGGCCTAACCCCTTTTCCTGACATGGTCCCTGGCCTCCGTATGTCTCTTTCCCACAGCCAGATCCCCTCAGGACAGACATGTCCACCATCTCTGGTGACCAGCCTCCTGTCTGTAGCCACCCATCCTCCCCTCCCTGTATCAGGCTCCTGCTCCCGTCCATCCCGCTACAGCCCAGGGCAGGGATCCAGCCTTCCTTCTCATCTCCCATCTCCATCAGAGTTGCACGATAGGGACCAGTTCCCCTCTTCCCTGCTCCCCCTACTTTGGGAGGAAACCCTTTCTCACTCCAGCAGGGCATGATCTGGCCAGCTTGAGGAAATCTCATTTGTGTGGCTGGAGGAGGGTGGCAGGGATGCTCAGGGCCATCCTGTGCCCACAGGGTGAACGACTGCGTGCTGCGGGTGAACGACGTGGACGTCTCTGAGGTTGTGCACAGCAAAGCTGTGGAGGCCCTGAAGGAAGCAGGCCCCGTGGTGCGGCTTGTGGTGCGCCGCCGGCAGCCCCCACCAGAGACCATCATGGAGGTTAACCTGATGAAGGGCCCCAAAGGTGAACCCCTCACTCTGCTCGCTTGGCCAGGGTGCCCCCCTGCCCCACAGGACAGTGTGGGGTGACCCCTTGGTGTGAGATGTCATGAGATGCGGGGCAGCCCCATGGGGGATGAGGGATGCAAGGTGGCACTGCCACAGCACAGGATGCTGCAGGGTGGCCCAGCAGTGTGGGATGCTGTGGGGCACAGGGTAAGGGACAGACCCACAATGCTGTGCATGGTGGCCAGACTAGCCCCAGGCAGCAGTGGGGTGGCCCGTTGCCTGCTGAGTTTGGGCAGGTTGTGAAGCTCAGTGAGGTACAGGGGCTGTGGTGCCAGCCCAGGACTCTGTCTATCTGTCTGTCCCTCACCTGCATTCTCACTCTCCTCAGGCCTGGGGTTCAGCATTGCAGGGGGCATCGGGAACCAGCACATCCCTGGGGACAACAGCATCTACATCACCAAGATCATCGAGGGAGGTGCTGCCCAAAAGGACGGGCGCCTGCAGATCGGGGACCGGCTGCTTGCGGTAAGCCCCATGGCCACAGCCAGCTGTGAGGTGAAGCTGAACCGGTTCCACTGTGATGCAGTGTTGATCCTGAACCCCAGCACCATCCTATCAGCAGCTTCACTCCTCTTCCCTGGAGCTCCTGCTGGGATGTTGCTGTGGCAGGGCAGGCACAGTAATGGCTGCAGGCAGGAGGACAAGCCCAAGGCAATGGGACAGGGCCTCTGAAGCTACTGTAAAGCTACTGAAGCCACCTCCCTGATGGAAAAACACTCCTGCAGGGCTGCACTGGTCCCTGCCCTCCTGCTCAGCCATGTCATCCAGCCCTTTCCCTCTGGCAGGTGAATAACACAAACCTGCAGGACGTGCGGCACGAGGAGGCAGTGGCCGCCCTGAAGAACACCTCTGACATGGTGTACCTGAAAGTGGCCAAGCCCGGCAACATCCACCTCAACGACATGTACGCGCCCCCCGACTATGCCAGCAGTACGTATGCTGCTGGCCACTGGCTGGGCACGCGGGGCTGTGGGGCACCCGGGCGTGTTGGGGTGGGGAGCAGGGCTAGGCCCATCTCCATGTCCTCATTGTGTATGGATTTCTGCTCCTGATGACCTTCTCCTCCCCTGCAGCCTTCTCAGCCTTGGCTGACAACCACATAAGCCATAACTCCAGTCTGGGCTACCTGGGCAGCGTTGAGAACAAGCCTGCCTATCCCATCCCTCCCCAGGTGACTCCATCCCGGTACTCACCCATCCCTCGGCACATGATCGGAGATGATGACTTCACCAGGTGAGTGCCAGGCATGAGCATCCTTATCATGATCCTTCTCATTCCCTCATTTTTCCCTCTGTGGTGGCTTGACATCATCCCCACTGCCAGTTCAGAGCCTCGAAAGGCCATTTGTAGATGCATGGTGCAATGCTTGAGGTCCCCATAATGAGCTCTGTGCTCACCCCCCTGAGACCAACCCTGCTGTGTCAATTTCTGGCTTGCTGCATTCACTCCCTCTCCATTCCCTCTCCTGCCCTTTCACAAGCCTTACACAACTGCATTTCAGCTTCGTTCTCTTGCTGATTTTACAATACCTGGAATACAAGGTGTTCCCTGCCCTTACGGTGCCATCCAGCAGTGCCACAGGCTCCTGGGATGGAGGTGTGGCAGGGGTGAAGGGCTAGGGGGAGCACAGCCTTGCAGACAAGTGGGGCCCCTCCCACACTCCCTGAGACTGGCAGCCCACACCACCTGCACTCATGTGCAATTTCAATGACTGCCAGCCCCTGGCCCGAGAGCCTCCTGTCCAGCCCTGACACAGCCCCCTTTGCCCCAGTAGAATCCTTTACGCTGCATGAGCAGGTTTGTTTCCTGAAGCCAGGAAATAAAGAGGAGCACAAAGAAAACATTGCTCTGAGCCTAAATGCAGTATAAAACTTCTCCAAAGCTTCAAGATGAGGGTGGAAGAGCAAGACCTGTAAAATTCTGCTCTACTAGCTGATTCTTACAGCTTACCCTCTTATTGTCACAGCCTTGGGGCCAGTGCTCTGAATGTGCTATCCCCAGGGCCAGGACTGTAGGGCTTAGGCTGATTTCTAAAGACCAACACTCAACCTAGGCTTAGGACTGGCTCTGCTGTTTGGAACAAGATTGCAGGCTCCTTTTGAGAGTGTCTACAGTGGAAGATGCAGTAGCTTTGTCCAGGATTCTCCCATTCTGCAGGTCAGTGGTGGATGCTGGAGTGGGAGACCCTGACTTGCCATCTGCAAGTCTTGTCAGGCCTGACATCCTCCTGGAGAGTGTCTGCACTCATCTTTGTCACAGGGTTTTCTCATTTCTTGGTGCTCAGCCACAGCCGGGTGTCTCTGCATGCCATTATTTGTGCAGTACTACCTTCCACACGCACCCCAACTCTCCCACTGGACTCGGGACCATTGATGCCAGCTCTAGAGCCTGTTTCTGGCACTGCATCCTCACCAGGTGTAGCAACTTCTGTGCTGTTGGGGCACTGGGGGGTGATGCCACAGGTATGAGCAGTGCTGTCTGCCATTACAGTGCCCCACAGAAGGGACTGAGTCCCAGTATTTGGGAAACACACCAGACACCCTGGTCCTACCAGGGTGTCCCTTCTCACAAGTGCCAACATTCCCATTTGTGGACTAGAGAGCAGAAAGAGCAACCCAGCTTAGGCTGGCCACAGCCAGTGGCAATGGCACAGTGAGGGCTCAGCGGTGGCTTGGCAGCGGCACAGTGATGGCTCTGCAGTGGCTCAGCAGTGGCTTGGCAGTAGTATGGTCAGGGTTTCCAGTGGCCCAGTAGTGGCTTGGCAGTGGCAGTGGATCAGCAATGGCTCAGCAGTGGCCCTGGTGCAGCACGTGCTGGTGGCCACTAGAGGATGGTGCTGCCTTGTGGAGGGCCCCACTACAGACACTGGGCACCACTGGGTGCCTGTGCCCAGACACAGCCCCTTGCTACCCAACAGATCCACAGCCTGCAGTGGGCTCAGCGCTTCCCTCATACTGCCCAGGACAGTGCTGAAAGCCTTGTATGTATTGCTGACCCCTTCAGAACAGTGTCATTGCTGCGGGTCTGTTGGCATCAAGATTGTGCACTAGGACCAGTGTGGTCCAAACGCAACTTACTGGTGTGGGGAAGGGCAGCAGCTTGCCCTGAAAAAGAAACTGTCTCCCATAAGGCTCCTGCCAGCCATTCCTTAGGGAAAGCAGAGGTCCAGTATCCAGCCTCTCCCCCTCCCATGGGCACAAGTGCTGCTTAGATGGGGATGGGGTTCCAGTGACTCTCATGTCCTGCAGCACCTAGGGCTGGGAACCAAAGAATCTGCTTTTCAGTGAGCTCCACCACTGCAACCAAGACCCAGCACAGCCCCACAGGATCCCCTCAGCTGTTCTGTGCGGAGGTCCCGGTGTTAACTCTGCAAAATTCAGCATGGGATCTGCCTGGAGGATCTGTGTCATGCCTCCTGTGATGAGGATGGAAGCCAAGAGTCATGACTGAGACCTGTGATCTACCTGTCCGGGGCTTCATTACTTCTCCTCATTTTTGTAGGGTCTTTTTACCTTCCACCAAATTGTCTGGTCCTCACAGGTGCTGAGGATGCTTCCCCTACACTGAGTTGAGGTTGTGCTTCCTGCATGCTGCTTGGGCAGCAGCGAAACCGAAGGGGCAGAGCAAGTTCATCTCCTGGTTGGAGGCAGAGTTTGCAGACCCAGAAACCTGACCTATTTCTTCCCCTGAGAGAACTCTAGCCCTAGGCACAGCTTTGCTGCAGAGGGACTGAGGGCTGCAACCCTCCCTGCCCCTCACAATTACCCCTAAGCCAAGCACTGGTAACATCTTGAGGACTTGGGGCTGAGCATCTTTTGACTGAGCATTTCCATGGTTTTCCTGATCTCCTGGTTCTGGTGTGTTCCAGCCCCCCCACCCCAGTGCCCCAGGGTCCTCTTAGCACAAGTCTGCCAGCATTTTAGGGTGCCCTCACTCAGTGCCATGCCTGGGCTCCAGCATCTCTCCAAACACAGCCCAGAGATTTCCCTCTGACACCTGGCAGGTGAGTGGTTGATCAGGCTGCTGAACTCAATGTCAGGCCTTTGGTCCTTGTGGTACCTGAGGAAGTGCCCAGGATCCAGCCACAGCAGATGCATTGATGGTCTCCAGTATCAGGTTTGCTGACAATCACCACCAGCCTGTGCCAATTGTCTGGCATCATTTATTCCTTTTCAATCCAGAGCTTGATCCAGGAGCTGCCGGTGTTCCCATCACATTGTTTCTTTCTCCCAGACAATTGACACAGGAGTTTTGAAATGCCAGGCCATCTTCCTGCTTATGCCTGCCTATTGTTTGAGCTGTGATAGAATTAAGTCATCAAAAAATTTAGGACTTCTATTGAGCTGTGCAGGGTCTGTGGCATTGGAGGGGTGCATGGGGTTGTAGGCACACTTGCCATGCTGTGGGGGGGCTTGATCCCACTCTCCTGGCTCATGGCATCAGATGCCACCATGCAGTGCAGTGTTCCTGTGTATCATTTCACGGTGGATGCTCTGTCTCTGTCCATGCTGTGTCTCATGTCACATCGCCTGCCATCTCTTCTGGTTTATCAGTCTCCACAGTGCTGAGGGCTGAGTCACACCAGGCTGCACTCGGATGACTCCAGCCTCACCAATGTGCCACAAACCCTGAGCACAGAAAAGCCTGTCACCAGCTTTGCTGCTCCTCACCCTGATGTCTCCCTGTCCCTTATATGCCCTATCAGGGAGCCCCGGAAAATCATCCTGCACAAAGGCTCTACCGGCCTGGGCTTCAACATTGTTGGAGGGGAAGACGGTGAGGGGATCTTTGTGTCCTTCATCCTGGCTGGAGGCCCTGCTGACCTCAGTGGAGAGCTGCGGAGGGGAGACCGTATCCTTTCGGTGAGTTGGTGGGGCATTCGCTGCCCCTTCATGGCCTCCCATAGCCCCGGGTGGGCACGTGTCCCCTGCCACCCGAAGCACAGATCTGTGGGATTCATCCCGGGTGCTGGTGTGTTGACACGGCCGCGGGGTGCCTGCGGTGGGGCCCTGGTGCCTGGGCTGGCCGGGGGCTGGTACTGGGTGTGCCGGTACTGGAAGTGCCAGTACCAGGCGTGGTACTGGGGTTGTAGCGGCAGTGACGAGGCTCTGAGAGTGTGGGTACCGTGAGTACCGTGGGTAGCGGTACAGAGGCGGAGCAGCGGGGCCGAGGCGCGGGGCAGACCCCCTCCATCGGTCCCCGCATGGGTCTGGTTCAGCGGAGCCGTTCTGTCCTGGCAGGTGAACGGCGTGAACCTTCGCAACGCCACCCACGAGCAGGCGGCGGCGGCGCTGAAGCGGGCGGGGCAGACGGTGACCATCATCGCGCAGTACCGGCCCGAAGGTACCGCCACGAGCGACCGGGAGCGGGACCGGGACAGGGAGCGGGACCGGAACCAGGACCGCGACCGAGGAGGGCGGGGCACAGCCATGGGAGGAGTGGTTATGCAGATACGGAGTGTTGATATTCAGATGAAGTGGGTGTGGATATGCAGATGA